ATTTCCATTTCCTCATCCGCAAACCGCCAACTTGTCCTGACTCCCCCCAGGTTGCTGTGAAGATTCAGTGAATAGGGAAATCTCTTGCTCTACAAAAGTCAAAATCTAATCACTATCAGCAATTACAGAGATGAATTGAAATGCAGGCACATCTTATGGGAGCTTAGATGTTTTTTGTGCCAACTATTGTCCTAAAGGCTTTTTATATGTTATTTTAACCTTCAGACAACACTTCCAGAAAGGTAGATAGAGTAATTACCCTTATTTTCTATTGTAGCAAACTCAGAGCGATTAAACGACTTGCCCAGAGTCATACAGTTGGTCGGTGACAGAACAGTGATTTGAATCCAGGTCAGCTGGAGCACAGAAATCAAGCTCCCTCACATGCAGATTCTTAATTAACTATATGCAGCCCGTACCCTGCGTACGCATCTGTACGTCCATCATGTTTTGTAGATCAGACCACCGTTAATGTCCTGGGATTTTTCTTGCCAGAGCATCTATTCCTATCTTATTTCTTTGTATCTTTCTTGATTTCTTGGAGGTCAGAGGCTTTTGATTACTTTTACCCTCAAAATATAGTTAAGATTCGTAATTTACAACAAAAAAGAGGATGGCTGCATAAATGAGCAAAAACAGCGAATTTGATTTTGGAATGCAGTATATGCTAATCCCCCCCCCCCAAGAAAAGATCAGTTTGCGATCTTGTATTTTTTTTTTTCAATCCTGTATTTTGTAGATGATCCTGAAAGCTCTGGAAATAGTGTAGTATCTAGGATACCTCCCAGCCCCAACATACATACACATGCATGTAACACGGAGAGGCCAGATTCTAGAAATATGTAAGCTCTTTTGAGGAGCTAAGAGAATGGACTCGAGGGTGACACCTAAATCACTTTCAAACTAACCATAAGGTTTTTACAACTCTTTCGATTCAACAAAATCTCTCCCTAGTTGGGATCATACATGAATATAAATATTGAAATAGCCAAATGTGATGATAAACTGAAAATACTTCAAGGGGTATTTCAGGGTAAAATAATATTCTTATTATTATATATTATCATATACACAGTATTAAAAATTACTAAATAATCAACGAAAATTTTTCGTAGGAAATTTATGCCCATAGAAGTTCACATTTGAGAGTCACGGCTGCGAATGGAATTCTGTGGCTATGACTTTGCATCAAAAAGCCACACGCTGGTCATCTTCTTCCAAAATGAGGGATACTTGTTCGATCAGAGGCTAATCTAATCCTAAACCTAAAACCATCTTAAAAAATGTTGGTTTATCTCACCGGCTACCCACACGCAAATACTATGTGCTTAATACAAGCCTATTGTCGTGATTACTGTAATTTAGTTAGTAGTTAAGCAATAAACAGATCTTGTTCATGAACCAATAAGCAGACTTTAAGATGCTCCGTAGGTGTGCATGCTAGTGAGAAGAGGAAGGTCACAAAGAAGCAAAACAAACGGGGAAAAAGGAATCAAATGCCCTTTCTCTTCTTGTTAGAATCCACCCAGTAACACCCTGGTTCAGACACTGGCGTTCATGTGAGCAAACGTGCAGCTATGTGAGTCCACACTGAACTCCCTCCCTCGTCCTGCCTCGGTCGCTGGAGGAGCGTGGGACACATGCGGCTGCAGTGCAAGCTGAATCAGCCACGTGTGGTGTCCTGAGAGCTGTCCATGCAGCAAATACCAAATTATCACAAAACACCCTTTTCGCTTACAGGGTCACCGACACAGTGGACGATATTACACTTAAGACTGCTTTAGGGACCTTAAATCACGCCTCTGGTGTGATAACCTCCAACAAACTAGCAACCTGAACTGCGCTTGTGTAGATCACGGGGCCCTTCTCCTGATCTTTTCAACGCTGCATCCCCTTGGGCGGCGTGCTAGGCACACAAGACAGCAAGGAAAGGAAGAGGACGGATGCAAGGGACGTCTCCAGGCTTGCACCGTCACCATCCCCTCTGCATTTACATCTCTGCTGCCTGGTGTGAACCCTGGCAGCGGAACCAGGGGAGGACAACCATCCCACCCCTGTATTTACTGAGAAAGAGCAACGTGGTTCCCTGCAAAGTGCCCAGGGTGGAGTCCCGTCACTGACCTCCTGCCATGTGCGCTAAGTTGCTCAACGTTTGCGGGTTAGTTTTCCTACGGGTCAGATGGCGTACGTGGGGATGGTGTGCTGGCGAGAGCCCGGGCTTCCTCATGAGCATCGGGACCTCCTGGCGTCATCACAGCGAGTGGCCCTGAGATAGGTGGCTGACGGACTGGTTTGCCTAAATTTCTGGCCAGGCACAGTCTAGTCACTGGAATATGGAGACGGCTTTCAAGATTTTCTGGGAAGGATCCTAAGCTATCTTTTTTTAAAGAGAAAACAAACTCAGAAAAAAGCCTGAGAGAAGAGGTGGAGAGGCCACTGGAGGGAAGGGAGGACTAGCTTATAAGCCAGTCGCTGTCAAAAATGTGAAGGACGTGAAAACTGCTTGAGTGGGAAATTGCTGAAAGACAGAAACAACCTCTTAGCCGTGGATGTGAACTACCACTGGGAGAGAGCAGGTGAAGGTAAGGGAAGCCTGCACAAGAGCCAAAGGGAGGGCTCTGCGAGGCAGACGCGGTGACCTCCTCGACGGAGCTGAGCCAGGCGCTCCCTCGTGGAGTCAAGAGACTCCAGCTTGAACATCCAGCAGAAGAAAGATCAGTGCAGAGTTCAGTCTACCAATTCACTCTGGAAATGATTCTAGAATCAGACCAATTCACTCCCCAGGACTGTTCGGAAGAAAAGTTGGATCTTCTGGTGAAAAAAAGACAAAGGCAAGACAGGTGGCTGGCTCAGCCAGTAGAGCGTGTGACTCTTGATCTGGGGATTGTGAACTTGAGCCCCATGTTGGGTGTAGAGATTACTTAAAATAAAAATCTTAAAAAAAAAAAAAAAAGAAGAAAAGAAAAAGGCAAAAGGAAAAAGGGATGAAACCAAATTATCAAAATCCTTTCAGATGGCCTTAATTATGCAAGCAAGTATTAATAAGACATATTTACCAAAACACTACAACTCTAAGCCCATTCAGAGAAACAGTGTTTAATTGCAAGGAGGAGAACTAGATTGGCTTTAAGATGAAATAGTGGGATGGGATGCCCGGGTGGCTCAGCGGTTGAGCATCGCACCTGCCTTCGGCCCGGGGCGTAACCCCGGGGTCCTGGGATGGAGTCCCACATCGGGGTCCCTGCAGGAAGCCTGCTTCTCCCTCTGCCTGTGTCTCTGCCTCTCTCTCTCTCTGGGTCTTTTATGAATAAATAAAAATAAATAAATAAATAAAATGAAATAGTGGTTTCTATCTTACTATCACTAAAAGAGTTATCCCATGCTAGAAAAATAGTGAGAACAGTTTTACTCACCTCTCTTCCCTGATGGGTTCCAAGAATTTGGAAGCATTGGGAGATGGAAAATGCCACAGTGTTTGTTACAAAGCATTTTAAAAAGAGGTCATCATAATAGTTCTATATTTCAGCATAAAGAGATATTTATGAGTTATGATTATCTCTGTTCAATAAAGCCAACCCTGTTTTTGTGGATTAGAAAATATTATTTACATTTTAATCGGGTTTGGCTACATTAACAAGCATATAGTGATTGCATGAAGTACACGACATTTAATAATTGCATTTAAAAGACAGGAAAGTAATTATTTTTCTTATGAGGGCAGGAAAATTAAATATTATTTCTGTGAAATGCGTGGGAATGTTAGATGTACCTGCTTAGGTGAAATATACTGCAACTGAATATCCAATCAGAAGTATTTTTTTAATTCAAAAAGGTCTAATACTCTGATGATAATGCCTTTTAACAAAAGACAAAGACCACGCACATATATATCTTATCATATAATCATTTTCATTGTAACATAGCAGTAGTACCAGCCTAGAAAAGATCCTCTTGGGGATTCATTTCGAATTATTGAAGCAGCTGTTTCTTCAGTTTAAAATACAATATCCATAACAAGTTCACACATGACAGATGCAAGGTAAAAACTAGATTCCATAGTGTGAGCTAAAAGCAGATGTTTTGAATGATCATATTTATAACCAGATACAATACATCTTGGTTACCTAGAGTAAGGCTTCATGAATACGCTTTTTTTAAGAATTTGCTTAAAGTGTATTTCCTATAGTTTCTTATGATTTTGAAAACTTGGCTTCATTACATACGAATATTGTATAAATTCTTAAGTAAGCTTTAGGAAAAATTCTTGCCCATTTCGTGTGCTTCTTCAGGAATAAAAGTACTGTTAGAGTGCTGAAATTTGTTATATTTATTTAATTCCATATATTTTCCCCACCCAATTCAAAGTCATAAAACTTTTTTTAAAAAAATAAACTTATGACTATTAGAAAGAGTGGCACTTTTAAGTCTTAGAATAAGCAGTTGGCTGTGGAATTTTACTCCATAGAGTGAACGTTAATAATATGATTAAAACTTTCGAAAACCATAAACAATGCAGGCTTAGTGAAACTTTAAAGAAAAGTCTGATGGTAAGAATTAAATATTAGTTATCAGCCATAGGGTTATGAAGTCTTCTATCTGATTTTGTTAGAGTTTATCACTACTTTTCCTTTTGCATGCTGATTCATTTACATTTCTAAAGTAAAGCAATCACGGCAGGGGGGAGAAGCAAGCAATCTGCCTTCCTGAGATTCCAGCTTCCCTTCTTACTACTTGCACGACTTTGGCAGATCCCATAAGCTGTCCCGTGTTCCTCACAGAGTGACTGTCGTCAGGAACAGATAATACACTATATACTACACAACCCCTTTGTAACATAGAGGAATTGCTATCCAGGAAATGCGCTTAAATGTTCTCAGTTTTTTACACGTTGAACGGGCAGACGTGTATCAAAGTCTGCGGGCAGGCACGTCCCCAGTGCTGTTCTCACCACGGCAAAGCATTATATGTGACTTTATATGACAGTGAAAGCAAGTCATCACCTCTGCATGATGCTCTTCATTCTGCTGCAAGACTTCTATGCAGAGCTCTGCTAGATGAAGAACCTCTTCCAGCTTTCTAGCAGGAGTTGCCTGGTTCATGGTCTCTATGTTAGAAAGAGATCATAATAATGTTACCTTGAAAATCAAAAGCCAAACATATTTCCATGTAAAATGAGGAGACCAGGGTGTGGAAACAGAATAGAAAGCACATTTTTGAGAAACAAGACATACAAAAAATACAAACAAATACATTCTTAAAGAAAAAAAAAAAAAAAACAACAAAACCAGTTCACCACATTGCAGAAAACATTTCACCCGCAAAGCAATCACAGGGAACTGCAAGTGTTGTGCCATTTAATATATAAGAACTAACAGGTGCATCAGCACATTAGATGCTCAACTTCTGCAACAAACAAGTTATAATTCTCCTCAAGGTCAGAAACACAAAGAGAGCAGATACCACAGTCTTTTCCTTCTCTCTGTATTGTATTATCAATACAATACCATTCTTACCAGATGAGTCATTCTCGACATTAGCAAAACCATGCTTTTTTTTTTGTTGTTATTTAAATCCTCTGCCTGAAATGTCTATATAGTTTATGTTGATCTTGCATTCAAGACGTATAAAGTCACCTAAAACACTCTGACAACCTTCAATTAATCCATCTCCTCCCCTCGTTCCCCGTCCACTATTATGTCACCCTCTCCCCTCCTCTAGCTGGAGAGGGGTGGAGGAGTGTTCTGAAAGCTGAAGGTTCTTTCAGCATCAAGGCAGACTGGTATAAAGGAGGCCAGGCCACAGTGAGCAACGGAGAAGGAAGAGCAGTCGATTTCAGGATCCAGCACACTGGCAGGAATTAGAGGTGCCCTGTCCTGCGTAATGAAATGGTTTCAAAACTGCATGTGAAGAACAGAGCTTCCAGTAAGGACGCTGAAGATAAATACTGTCTTACGTTTGTGGACTCTCTTCGTCCCAGTAAGGAGGTTGTAAGGAAGGGAGGTAAAATTTTCAGGAAAAAAGAGCTTTTTCTGTGGGACCTCAGGAGTTTTGTTTTTTGGCAATGGATCTTTTCCTTTAACTTCTTCCTAAAACTTCAGCCTTAAATTTGGAGGATACTCTCTTCCATTTGCTCATTGCCAAGGGACGTACAATGATGCACTGAAACCCTGCTTGCAGCTGGTGCATGTTCATTAAACATTTATCATAAGCTTAGTATAAGTCCCCGTGTGATAAACATCCCCCAACCCTGCACTCATCCTCCTAAACGTCCCTGCAGGATGGAAAGCCATGCTTGTCTGTGACGGGGATCACGAGCAGAAAACCAGCCTGCCAAACAGCACGTAATTGAGTGTGCCTGCGATGTTTCTAGCTGTGAGAAACAGGAGGAGGTATAAGCCAAGTCCCTGATCTTAAACAACTCATACTCCAAAAATCACTACTAAAAGGATCCTTAGACATCAACTATTCCATCTTCTGTCTGTTTCATGATCACTTCAACATCCTCAAAAGAGGGTGAGGTCAAGGAGGCTCATGACTTTGCAAGACAGTCTACTCCATTTGGGGGCAGCTCTAGCTACTAGAGTCTGGTGAGAAAGACAAGATCCTTAAGAAAAGTTTGGAAACAACACAGAGCAAACAGCGGTTATGCAGGAGAGGTGAGAACTGCTGAGAGGGAGTGGATTGGGGACAGGAATCAGCAGGAAGGTTAGCAGGACCTGGAGCAGGTCCTAAAGGAAGAACAAACGACCTGGGAAAGTAGATGGGTTTTTAGAAACGTCTATGTGACAGAGATGAGGTGATTTCAGAGGAAAGTGATGACGATGATGGTCACAAATGTCACTATTTATTGAGAACCAGTTGCGTCTCAGGCATAGCACCAGGCACTTTCCACGCATCATCACATTAATTTCCCCAGCAGCTTTGAGTTGTTTGGTTATTTGATCATATAACTGATAGATAAGGAAACAAACCTGGAGAGATGAAATGCAACAGCTCGCAAGTGGAGATGCTGAGACTTCTCACTTGAGAAGGTGAGACCTGAACTTAACATGGGCTCCTGCCATCTCTGCCTCCCCCTTGCCTGGCTGATGCACAGTGTGCTGGTGAGCTGTGGCTGGTGAGCCTGAGCTCAGATTATGGCAGAGTTTAAGTGAAATAATAAGCATCCTGGATAACTGTCCTATGTGTAATTCAGAGCAAGGATTTCTTTGCAAGGCTTCAGATTAAATTAATTTTAGGAAAATGCATTTGTGGTTGTATAGAAAAAGGAAGGATTGGTGAAGTTGCGCAACCTGGATCCCAAGGGTCAGGTCTAGTAAGATGGAGAACAATGGGAAGATGGGAGTGAGAAGAGAAGAGGAAGGTGCAGGAATGCTCTGAAGAAAGAAGCCCTTTTGAGTAACTAGAAATTACAGGCCATAGAGAAGAATGGTCCTGAGATTTGGAGACTGTGTGGCTTAGGGAATGAGGGTGCAGGTTGATGAAACCAGGGAATGGGTTTTCAATGGGACATTCCATATATTTTAGGACTAATTGCCATATATGCATAAATTAATTATTCTAAACTAAACTTAGGGTATTCTATGTTTCCTATAAATGTGTTGTTAGGCTTTCTCTACATTGGATTATATTGTTTAAACATATCTCTATGCTTATATCATGTGTTTTTCATAACGAAATAGAGAGGCAACAAATTTTTTTTTTATCACAAAAGAACTTATTTTTCCTACCTATTTAGTACGTTAATTACCGAATCTTTACAATGATTCTGCAAGTTAGATGATTATGGCCCCCACTTCCAGAGTAAAAAAAAAGGGTGTCCAAGGTCATACAGGACTCTAGCTGGGATAGGATTAAAATCTTCCCTCTAATGTCAGGTAAGCAACAATGATGCAAAGACTTGAATTCTTTTTCATTTTCAATTCTCTGAATAACACACACATACAAACAGTAAACTGTATAAATGCAAAGAAACTTCTGAAATGGCTGGAAGTTTGAAGAGTCTATAAAGTCACCATATCCTCAGTCACAAGTACGCAATAATGGAAAATAATCACAGAAACAACCTGAAAAGTCATTCTGTTTACGTTGTAAAATCAGCTTTTACATTTGACACTATCTTGAGGAAAGACTCTGAAAGTACCCTGTGTTCTACTGAAACTTAAAAACAGCCTTAAACATTGTATTTTTTTCTAGACTAAATTTACTGAGAAGAACAGAACTTTGTACTTGAACATAATGGCCACTCTAATACTTTAAATAAACAGCGTTTTTTTTTTTTTTTTTTATCAAGTACACTGTGTACGCCATCTCTGGCTGTCACTCATTTGACTACAGCCAAGAAGTTTAATGCATTCTGTAGTCCGAACTCTATTAGATAACAAGGTTACCAACCTTTTACCATTAAAAATCTGAACACTGAATATTTGAGAATTCCTTCTCAAAATGTTCACTTTCACTGTTTGTAACATTTTCACAGTATTACAGATGCCTCTGTATTCTTCAAGCTTCACACCAAGTTGCTGATTGTTGTAATACATTTAAAATAAGTATGCCCAAAGTAGCAAGGTTTCTTGATGACTTTCAACGCATTGGGTACGATCTTTCTTCATTTTGGAACACTTTTACTTTTTGACAATAACACTTCCTGGCTGCTCAAAGCAATTCCTTTTAATTAGGCCTCTATACATATAAGAAGAGGTCTTGCTGGAGAAAAGATCAGGAGATGGGGAGACAGCTTGGCTGTTTTGCTTTGGTAGGTTTTAATTCTCCTCCCCCATTGCATACTCCCAGCACATTCCCTCCAGCTGCCTCCTTTCCAGCCATTTCCCGTCAAAATCCCTAGTGGTGGACACACAGTGATAACTCAGAGTGAAGGTTGTAAGGGGACCTAGGGAAAAGACCAAATCATTTCAGTCCTTTTTTCCCCCCCCATATGGGATATGGAGAAATTAGTAAGGTATTTGACCTTAAGTCTTACAAACTCGTATCTCTATTTGCAACTAAGCAAGAAAGGATTCGAGATGGTGGATTGAAGGATGATGACATAAAGCCATCGTAATGCTTCTCTCCCTTGCATCTGGGTCATGATGACCAGCTAGAGTGCATCAAAAAGCAATTCCTGTGTATGCACTAAGATTTCTTGGTTCGACAGCCTGATTTTGTGACCCCGAATTTGATTCAACAAACATTTATTGCCTGGAAGTTACTGTCCTAACAACTAAGGGGATACAATGACGGACAAGGTGATATTTTTGCCTCCAAGAATTTCTGCATCTTTATCCCTAACCAGATTATAAGGTAGAGAGTAGCTATGTACCATCCATTTTTGGTCAATATGAGGAAATTCCGCCATAAAGCTCTGTCTCGTAGAGAATGAATTAAATGCACTCAACATGCAAGAACAGTATTATTATCTTGAAAGAAATGGGATCAAAGATATGTCGATAGGAGGGTTTAAATTGCTCATGGATAACATAGGGAGATCTTTAGAAAGAAAGGCTTCTTTTAATGGGCATGTGTTTGAGGTCAGGAACTTTAGATGAGACAAAGTTAGCAGCAGTCTAACATTTAAGGCTCCCACCTTCCTTCTCCTCCTGTAAGAAGGAAAATTAAAAAAAAAAAAAAAACCCACATTCACTCTGGTGTTGCTTCTCCCTTCCTCTAAAGAACATCAGTCAGATGGACGAGGAGAAAGCCCTGATACTCAGTAGGGAATTGAGGTGAGAAATCTCTAAGACTCAAGGAGAAACTATAGGGATAATTGTGGATCCTTAAGGGGGGAAAAGAGGAAAGAGGGGAGGAAATGCAAACACGAGTACTGCGTACTGCGTAGGGAAAAGAGACAAAGGACCACAGCTTGGAAGGAGCGGAGAGATCAGTAACATGGACGCAATCACCCGGATACACTGTGAGCCCCAAGCAGTGAGGCTTCGTCTTGACAGGTTCAAAAGATCAGGAAAGTTGGGCCAGCGGTACCAGCTCTGATTCCTTCTACCTGGAACTTGAAAGGTCATCCAGTGGCAAGGACGATCAGCATCCTCTCCATGGACTGCTGGATGGAAAAACTTCTCTACCCTCAGACCTGGCTGAGCAATGGTAGGA